AGCAGGAGGATTGCTGACCATCTGAGGCCAGCCTGGGTCTACAGGATGGGCTTGCAAAAGGCAGAACAACATCCAATCTGTTAACTCGAGAATTGTGAGTTTGTTTCCTAAAGCTGATTCAAAATCCCAGAGGCTGGTAGTTAAGGTCACGATAGCAGTTTATTCATAAAATTATGATTAGATATGGAAAGAAACATGAAGGCTGAGGACCAAAACACTGACATCCCACATTCAGCACTCAGGAAGCCGGGTGGCCAGAGTAAGTCGCTTGCAGAGCCAGGAGTCAGAAGCACGGGGGTCTCTTTTTTCTTCTGTTTCTAGGAAGTGTGTTTTGTGTTATGGAGGTCTTGACAGAATCAGGCTCATTAGCCCCAAGGCATCGATTTACTTGCCTTAAGAACTGAACAGAATAAGGTAATCTCTTACTTGCCAGCCCTTGGATAAGCAACCCTCCCCCCAACATTTGCTCCAAGACCCCTTTTGTTCCTAAGCCTCCAGGGCTCACCAGCTCTGGTCCAAATGCTGTATTCTTTCTTAAATTTGAGGTCAGTTATTGTCCACATCACAGTACCATCTTGCTGGCCAGGGGTCTATGCTTCTCCTTCACTAAATAAAACTGAATACTACACTATTCTGCACTGACTTTCAGTTTTTTGAGCTTGAAAGGGCAAGTTAGTGCCAAGTTCTCGAGGCTCCAAATCCCGACAGCAGCCTAAGAGACGGGGCCAGCTGTTGGACGCTGCTCCTTCATTTCTAAAGTTTTTGCTGGTGGGCTCGCAAGCTTCAGGAACAGAGACTGTTGCCATCGGATTTTTGCCTGTCTCCTTAAAACCAAAGGATAACAAACACTGTTTCTGTAGCTACCGAAGAGACAGACTGCTTGGAGAAAGATTTACACGGCTCGGCAGACTCCCTGGCTGTGCCAGCACTGGGGGAGTCGCTGCACGCAGCAAGAGGCAGCTCTTGGTTCCTGGCTCTTGGCCACAGTTCCTGCAGCTCCAGCAAAAGCAGCGGCTCCCACTCTCACACAGAGCTTCCAGCATGCTGGGAGTCTCCTGCTGACAAGCTCTGAAAGACAAGGCTCCAAGTCCTACCAGCTAAGGCTGCCAGGACTTAAAGGAGAATGGCTGCGGCCAGATCCCTGGAACCAGCTCATGTCAGAGCCTAAACACAAGGAAAGGATGACCCCCTCCTAGGTGTGTTACATAACACTTTGCCCAGAGGAGGGAAATAGTATAGACAAACCCCTCACCTCTCCTGAACTCTCAGAGTACAAGGAAGAAGACGTAGGTTCTGTGGGAACAGACTGCTTTCTATTTTATTTTTTTATTATTTGACAATTTCATATATATGTTCATACTGAATTTTGGTCAATTTCATATCCCTTTACCACTGTTTTCTGAAATATTTATTTTTATTTACTTAACTAATTATATTTATGTACTTAATTTTGAAACAGGGCCTTACCATGTAGTCCTGGATTCCCTGAACTTATTGTGTAGACCATGATGGTCTGGTCTTGTCTTAGGGTTTATACTCCTGTGATGAAACACTGCAGCCAAAAGGAACATGTTCTGGTCCTTCACAGAAGGTTGAAGTCAGGGCAGGAACGTGGAGCCAGGGACCTGGAAACACTACACCTCTTATTTTAATTCTTTTTTAAAATCACCTGTGCGTGTTTGTGTGTGTGCACACATCCAAGTGTGCGTGTGGGTATGTGCGCATGAGTACAGGCCTCCTCAGAAGCCAGCTGAGGGTGAAGGAGGCCCAGGGACTGAAGCTACAGGCAGTTGTGAGCAGGAGGATTGTGGGTGCTGATGTGGGTGCTGGGAACCAAACTCAGGTTGTCTACAAGAGCAGCAAGTACTCTTGCACTGTCATCTGCGGAGCCGTCCAAACCAAATATTACCTCCTCTCCCTTCTTCCCACTTTTTTTTTTTTAAGGTTTTTTTGAGACTGAGTTTCTCTATGTAGCCTTGGCTATCCTGGACTCACTTTGTAGACCAGGCTGGCCTCAAACTCATAGCTATCTGTCTGCCTCTGCCTCCCTGAGTGCTGGGATTACAGGTGTGGGCCACCAGGCCTGGCAAAACAACTCCTCCTCCTCCTCCTCCTCCCCCTCCTCCTCCTCCCCCTCCTCCTCCTCCCCCTCCTCCTCCTCCCCCTCCTCCTCCTCCCCCTCCTCCT